TTTCCCATGCATAATTTCGGCAATTGAATTCGACATCAGCTGTCTTGCTATTTCTTTAAACTGGATGATCGTGTAATGATCGACTTGGTTCTCACCACTCTCAGAAGATCATTTGGCCATTTAGGAGAGAGTTCTAGGCGTTTTAACGTTAGCGAGCTAATCCTCGGCATAGATGAATTGCCGATGAAACCTTAACGTTAATTAAATGAAACCTTAACCTTATAATTAAACAGGCTCTCGTTTAATTATTCCTTTGTTATAGACGTAAGTGGTAGCAGTAATTGCAGTTCTGAAAGTGATCCAACAATCACCCTCTACTCCCCCACACTGGTAGCCAACATAGGAGCAACCGTGCTATTGCCTTGTAGAGCAAGTGGCAAACCAACACCGCAGATTACTTGGATGGATAACTACAACGTACCTCTAAGTTTATCGACTAATTTACGGCACAGAGTATTAGACAGTGGTGATCTATTGATAGAAGAGCTCTTATGGGAAGACATGGGTGGCTACACTTGCCAAGTCAAGTCTGGAAATCGTCAACAAGTCATCAGTACATTCCTCTACCCCTTGCGTGTGAGTTTCTATACTTTTGCTTAATCTTGACACATAAATTACCTAATTCAATATCCGGTATGATCGATAATGATAATATCGATAATTAAATTAAATCGACAAATCGAAATGAAAGTTTGATTTTATTTTTCAGCCTGAGAAGCAAGTGGATCGAACAGTTAATTAAACGATTATCGAAGAAGGAACCTTGATCGATCTCTTTCTATCATCACACGACATGCCACAGTCTTATCGCGCTAAATTTCGGTGTTCATTAGCGTTCAAACATAACGTATTGTTTGTAAGCATAAGCACTATGTATAATTCTATGCTGTAGGATTATATCTCGCTACTGAAAATGCGACAATGCGTGCGAGAATCAGCAACGCTTCATTTAGTTATTAACTGAAACGCAGCCATTAATTTACTTAAAGTTTTATAAAAGATTTTAAGGTGCCAAAGATGTTTTGTATTTGATTATTATAATAATTTTAGCGAGTTTAAAATAGCGATTTTAAGCTATTTCGATATTTAATTATTGTCTATACCGCGACACCTCTTGGACGAGGTTTCGTATAGTTTAAACGAATTATTTATTTATTATATATGTACAGTGGAAGCCGACTCAATAGGCAGACATAACGGAGGATATTTTAATTAATATTAAGACTAACTGCTAAATCTTGTGTAACCTGGTGAAATAGAAACAAGCCGATCTCTTGGCTTGGATTTTTATTTCGCTCATTATTTACTAGTATTAATTAGTACTATTTACTTATTTTGACTATTTTAAACAAGTTTTTGTCTGAAATTATTATAATCTATTGTCCATTGTGAATTGCTATATTTTTATGTAGAAATAAATGTATTTCATTTCGTACAGTGTTTATAAATTTTTGCTATATTTATTTTCCACCGTCTAATTTCTTATTTAAATCGACTTCCTAAATGAATATTCGATTTACTACGTTTCGTAACTGATGCAACAAGGCGAACAAAAATCAAATGTCCTTGAATGGAAGATCATTAGGCCATCCGATAATGCTTTATCATTTTTACTGAAAACACGTGTTACGTGCTTCTAACATTTTCTAAATAAAAATGGCAAGAAAATTGACTGCAAAAATTGGACCGTCTATTCTGAATGCCAATTTGGCACAACTTTCCGAAGAATCACAACGATTAATTAATAATGGTGCTGATTATTTACATTTAGATGTTATGGATGGGCACTTTGTACCTAACCTTACTTTCGGCCACCCATTAGTAAAATGCCTTCGAAGCAAAATAAAAGATGCCTTTTTTGAAACCCACATGATGGTCTCTAATCCTAATCAGGTAAATGTTATACTTCTGCTAGATGTAAATTTTTAATTATTGAGAAAAATTATTCTTTCTGTTCGCACTTAAAAAGTTGTTATTTATGAAATAAATTTTTTTTTCAATTATAGTGGATAGAACCTATGGCTGATGCTGGTGTTAATCAATATACATTTCATGTTGAACCAGTGAAAGATGTTCCATTTAGGAATGAAAGTATGTATATTCCATGTTTATTAATTAATCTTGCTTATTTAAGAATTATGCTAAATTTATCTTTTTTAAATGAAAGGTTGGAGTAGCACTTAAACCAGGAACTCCAGTAGATGTAGTTGTAGATTATGTTAATTTAGCAGATATGGTATTAATTATGACTGTAGAACCAGGGTTTGGTGGTCAAAAATTCATGGAACCAATGATGGAAAAGGTATCATGGTTGAGAAAGAATTATCCTACATTGGATATAGAAGTGGATGGAGGTGTTGGGCCAGAAACTATTGATACATGTGCAAAAGTATGTATTTGATTACAGTTTCATATTATAAGAAAAATAACTATGTATACATATTTGTTTAGGCTGGTGCAAATATGATAGTCTCTGGAACAGCTGTCATAGGTTCTTCTGACCAAGCAGGAGTTATTAGAACTTTGAGAAATACAGTAAATTGCGCATTACAAAATAGTTGATTTAAGAAGGGGGAAAAATGTAACTTGAAGATATAAAATTAATGCATTGTACTTATATTATAGAGTTTGCAAATATTTTAAAATTTTGTATACAACCTTTATAAGGAAATAATAAAAAAAGCAGGTATTTTATAATTTTGATATATTTACTTACAGCCACTTATATTGATTGATAGTTCAATTATCTACAAAACTGCTAAACTGATCATTTGACAATGAGGGAACTTTAGGACACAACTTTGTTCTTAATTCTGCCAATGTAATTAGAATAGCTTCTTCTGTTCTAATAGTTCTTGATCCTTGTTCGGGACAAGTATTCAAATAATGATGAAACACTACAGAAATGTCATCCACGTTCAAATTAGGGTCATTGTCCACTGCTTCTTCTATTCCAGATAATCCCCCAAATATGATTAAAGCATGATGATATTCAATGCTATTTGATTTCACATCGTCGATAGAATTTCCTTTATCTGAAGTTCCAATAGTCAAGTCATATCCATCCTTATAAGGGCCCTGTGTTAATACTTCTGTAAGATTGTTAGCTAATCTTACGGTATATCCCCAATATATTCCAATATCTGATGTAGGAACAATAGGTGGCACAATGAATCCTTTCAATTTTTTTGGATTTGGTTGGTCCTTGGGTATTTTTACAGTAACTCTTATTCCAGCAGTTAAAGCTTTATCCACACAAACATCGTTTAACAATCCTACATTCACATGAGAACCTTTGCCAGTTTTAATTGGTTTATTTGTAATCACACCTTCTCTATATAAAGATACATCTTGTTGACGTAAATGATGGGGGGCATCCAAAGGATTTAATACTCCAGCATATTGTAAATCTTTATGAATCGGAAAGAAATACTTTCTTAAGTATTGCGGACATTCAAGATACTGCAATATCCTGGCTAATTGCAAACATGCAACTCGTCTTTCACCTAACACTTCGTCGCATCTTACTTTTTTCTTTTCACCTTCAGTTATGTCTCCTTTATCATCAAAAACAACGATTTCATTTATTTTGTAAACACATGCTGCACGTGCTATTTGTCCTGCCAAATATGATCGTAATTCCGGAGATTGAGCATTATCTAAAATGGAGCCAGGAACGGCAATGCTTAAAGTCGAGATATCCTTTTTTTCAAAGTGTTTTTCATCAGATTTAGCCACTTCATTCTCTAATTCCTTCTTACTTTCTTCTTTCTTGAATTTTTTTGCTAACCTTTCTTGCTTCCATTTTCTTCGTTGTTCTTTGTATAAACGATTAGTTTCTTTCCATGTTTTTGGTGTAGGAATTACTGGCGACATAATCTTTTAATTGCTTTAAACTATTTCTTTAAATTTCAAAATATTTATTATTTCTCACAATTATTTTTTATAAACCTTCGAGAACTATCAAAAGCAACGCTACGTTCATTACCATTTTACGTGACAGTGTGTTTATTTGTATCTTTTCACTAAGTAGAACGGTTTCTGAATTTTTATAAAATTCGAATAATTATATTAAATTATGACAACAGAAGAAGCTTTCGAACAGGTCTTTATAATATTTTATTTTATGAAATTTCTTTAATTTAACGAAACTTAATATTTAATGTTATTTTTAATGTAAGCTATCTAACCTTAATTATATTTCTTTCAAATGCGTTTAAAACTAATTTAATAAGTATGTATGTGTATGGAATATTAAACATTTATTAGCAAATGAAATTATTAGTGAAAATTACGAAAACAGATTGCATTGTCACAGTTCGAGGATGAAGAGGCCGAAATTCCGATTGGTGGAACTTTACCCGGCGGTAGAAAACGATTATTTTCGAAGGAATTACGTTGTATGATGTATGGTTTTGGTGACGATCAAAATCCTTATACAGAGAGTGTAGATTTATTAGAAGATCTCGTTATTGAATTCATCACTGAAATGACACATAGAGCGATGGAAATTGGCCGAACCGGTCGTGTTCAAGTAGAAGATATCGTATTTTTAGGTAATATTAATCTATCTGTTCTAATCTATTTACCATCCTACAAAATATTTTAATTCAATTTTATTTAATATTTACTCTTAGACAACTGCAGCATACACTTCAAATTTATTTAGTCACTTATAAATTTTGTTTTATAGTTAGAAAAGATCCAAGGAAATATGCAAGAGTTAAAGATCTTCTGACAATGAATGAAGAATTAAAGAAAGCTAGAAAAGCATTCGATGAAGTTAAATATGCAGGTACTGTTAGTCAGTAAATTTCATTTATTAATATCAAAGTATACCACAAATTATTGAACTTTTATTATGCTTGAATTTATTATTTAATTAAAAAGTTATATTGATTTCTCTTTTATTTTTGTCTGTACTGTTTGCAAGCTTTCTTTTTAGGAAAAGCTCAAATAGAATTTGTTTAATCATAAATTAATTATTTTAATTATGTTATTGAACCTGTGTAATGCTGTAATTAAAAATAAGTATTGCATTATAATAGCTGTACAGTTTTGATTTATCTACAAATATGGAATGCTATATGCTTGTGTGCTGCATTTTTATGATACTTCATGCTTGCTTATCTACACATGGAAGATTATGATGTATTTAAGATTATTTAGTTCTTTTTGTTATACAAAAAGAAACCTGTATGAAAATATATTAGATTTTTATAACTAGAAATACTTAGTTGTATCATAGAATAATTGTCTTACAAATACTATTTTTATTTCTTTTGTTAGTAGTGTTATACTTATGTATGTAAAAATAGAGTATAAAACAAAAGTTTATATTACAAATCTGATGTTTTATTTTATGAACAATAGTTTACAATTTTATAATAAACATACATATATTCACATGTTTTACTTTTAATAGTTACAGAAATTTTCCTCAACTGTAAATTGAACTCTTTAAATGCTGGTTTGAAATAATTATTTTATGTAGTTATTTTATATATTATTAAAATGTCTTATTTTCTTCTTTTATTTATTATTTAATCTTAACATTATATTATTTCCCTTACTTCTTATTATCTTCATTATATTATACGGATTATTCTTTATATATTTTTTTTTATGCAGCATGACTAGTGCATGTTTCACTCCAGGTTAAATTGCAGTGTATATTTTAAAAAATTATTTTGACTTATTAATTATTATATTATTTTCTTGCATGCATGTTATTTTGTTGTTGAATCAGAAGAAAGTATTTTATATAATTTGTCAAGCTTCATTCATATTTGAATTTTATAAATCTATATATGTTGATTGATATTAGAAACAGCTTCTTTTGCTGACAGAATAACATGAGAGACTCCTACACCGTGGTATGAAGAGCCACACAGCCCTAAAGGTATTTTGTGCGCACAGATATAATCTTGGATGCGAGTTAAGCGTTGTGCGTGACCTATCATATATTGTGGAATACAGTCTTTCAGAACGGAAACATGACATGCCTTGGGATCTTCATTAATGTATAAGAGTTCATTTACATATTTAACTGCTACCATTTTTAAATGTTCTTCAGATGAGCATTTACCAAAGTATTTTTCAAACCATGCCCCTCCCATCATTACTGTCAGTACCTGGATTTAAAAAATTGTATATATTCAAGAAAAAGTGTTTCTAGTCCATTATATATTTGTAAAAAATGATTTAAATGTTAAGGATTATTTTGTGTTATTACAAGGCTAGACTTTTTTAAATTTATTATTAACAAACATTAAACTGATGTAAGAAATGTTGAAATTGTAATAGAAAAAAGTAGGTAATAAATATTTATATTTATACATACTGTCATTTTGGAGTTTTGAGGAAGGGCACACGAATCAAATATTATACCCAGAATTGGAATTTCTTCCTTTGGTGGAACAAGAACTCCAAAAGCTTTTACAGGTAAAACATTTTCAGAAAATTGAAGATTAATAACAGCTATTGTTACTGTAGGAACATTGTGTAATTCTTTAGATAATTCTGGATGTTGCTTTTGTATTAAATTAGCTAAACTTTTAGCAGGCAAACTTGATATAACATTAGAGTATCTTTCAACTTTTCCATTTACAATTAATTCTACACAATCTTTATTAAATACAATTTCTTCACAGTTATGTTTCATTTTTATATTTACTCCACGTTTAGATATATTCTCAGCTAATGCTTGAGGCAATTGTTCAAAACCTCCTTGAAGTCCCCATATTTTCCAAGCTTCTGTTTTAGCTTTTTGTGCTAACAGTGGTGTGTTATGTGATTTTGTTATTGTTTGAGTATCATTCATATTTTTCAATTTAATTTCTTGTTCATTGCTTTTATTTAACAAGTCTACAAATTTTTGTTTGAAAAGACCTATAAATATAGAACCATATTTTTGTTCAGCTTCAAATGCATGTGTCATAAAAGATTTTGCACTTAATTTATGTATATCACCACCACAAATTCCACATAATACTGGAGCAACCAATTTTTCAGATATATCTTTGCCAAATCTCCTTTCTATAAAACTATATATACTTTCATCATCTTTAGAAACCTTTATTGCTTTGAAATCATTCAACAAAACTTTACTTAGAGAACAATTTAACAGTGTATTTTTTGTCATAACTCCTTTCAGACTATTAGGCAAACAATGCAATTTGTTATCTGCATATATATATCGATTGATAGCAGCAGGATGTCCAGCTTTAATAGGAACAACTTTAGATGATAATCCTAATTCTTCCACTAGATTTAATAAATGATTTGTGTTAGCTCTAATAACCCGTGGACCTGTTTCAAAGATTGTTCCATCGGATTGTTTTACAGAACGTATCCAACCACCTACACGATTTGAAGCTTCTAATATAACTAATGGTGCCATTTTTGGATTTTCAAGAGCATAATATGCAGCTGATAAACCTGATATACCAGCACCTAGTATTGCTGTCATTTTCAATTGTATAAATATTTAATGGTAATAATAGATATTAATTTCTATTTTAGATAAAATATTTTTAAAATTAGAAATATATTCACTAATATATTTATACTTTAGAGTACGGATTAAAAATACTTTTACTTTTTCTTTTAGACTAGCCAAGTGAAAATTATTCTTTTTAAATTATAAAAAATAATCAGTGCTCTTTTTTTTAATATCGAAATTCAATACTATAATTAAATGATTGAGAAAAATGGAATCTTTTATTCAAAAACTAGATAATTACATATCTAAAAGTGCACTGTCAATATTACGTCAATTTTATTGTATCAAAAACTTCTCATGTCATCGTATTTTATACTCAAAAGAAGATAGGTTATACTTGTTTATAATGAACGGACCCATTGTATGCACACATAATAGAAATTCACGTATAATGTAAAAGAGTAACACTTTTTATTCGATAATAAAAATTAATCTAAATAAACATTTTAATTTAATATCTTTTTGTCATTAAATATTCCATTGAATTGTATATATTTGTATTTATTTTTTCATGTTTTCTCAATGGATTAAATGATCATAATATAACCAAATCTTTTGAAAATACCGATATAATATTATTTCAAAATTTGACTTAATTATATATGACGATAATAAATTTATTTAATATAATCATTTTCATTAAACACATTTCATTATATAGAACCATTTTATTTGATGATATATTCCATTTATTAAGATAAAAATGGAGGTGTCTATTTGCGTCATTCAAATTATAATGCATGAATGATTTATTTTACTACATATTTATATATCCTGTGTTGACTAGTAAATGCGTTTGTATCACCTATTATATTTTAGATGTAAGAGATCGTGCTAAGTTAATATTCTACGCTTATATAATAGAATTTATACGGATTTCCGCCAAACCATTCTTTAATAAATTCAGTGTAACGTAAGTTTTTTTATTTATCTCGAGATTTTTTAAATAGTCTTATATGACTTTTACTCAAAAATTGGGTTTTTTACTAAGTTATTAATATTTTAGATATTAAAATTTGGTATATCATTAATAACTGCAATGAAAGACGGAAGCAGATTGTTGACAATCCTTCTGAAGGTATCAGAAAAAGCTGCAAATATTGCAAGAGCTTGTAGGCAAAATGATGTTCTATTTAAATTACTTGTACAAGAAAAATCAGAGGAAGAAAAGAATCCACGTTTCTTCCAAGATTTCAAAACTTTGGCAGATGTTCTTATTCAAGAGACGATTAAACATGACATAGGATTAGAGGTAAGCTAATAAAAAATATTAATATATACTTAATTTGTTACTTTGTTTAAGAATATTCAGGTCTAAATAATAAATTAATTAAAATATATAATTTGTATCAAACAATGAACTACATTAAATTTGTCTTAAAACGAAATAAGTGAAGGATTAAAGATAATATAAGAAATATATTTAAAGTACGTATAATATCACTTATAGAGAATTAGTTTCCAGAACTGGCTAAGGTAGTACAGGGAGAAGAAAATAATACATTCAGCAATGCTATGGGTGAATCTATAGTGGTTGAAGTATGTTCAACTATTGAAGAGACTACACAATTATTAGCTAAGGTGATGGGTAGTGATATTGCAACTGCTGGATTACTAGCTACTGAAGTTCATAAGGATGTTCAATTCTTAGACATCCCAATGGTAGCAGAGCTACCTTTTGATTTTGATATAGATATTTATGATCTTGGTATATGGATAGATCCAATTGGTAAGAAATATAACAGTATGATTTAAATACTTTAAGATAAAGATTTACTAAATGTGTAACAAATATAATATAATATTAATATTGTTATTTGCATTAAAAACAATGTCTGGGAAATTTATATGGTAAATATCTTCATGTTCATATAATTTATTTTAAATTTTATACAAAGTATTGATATCTTCTAAATATTTTGATTTTCCTTGTTTCGAAATTTATTCTTTTCTATTATTGTATAGTATATTCACTTTTTTATTTTTGTTTTCTTTATATTTTTTCATTTCGCTTTATTTATTTTTTTTAAATGATATTCTTTCATATTCTTATACAAAATTAGATACATTTTTTGTGAAATCCTCTATTTATTTTGTAGTTTAATAAAGCATGCCTGAGGAGCAATTCATGGAACTTTTGTAGATTCAACTGCAGATTATATAAATGGAGGTGAAAAGGTGGATTTTGCTACTGGTATACATATGAGTGGCTTACGATGTGTCACTGTCTTGATAGGAGTATATTCAAAAAGTACAGGTATACCAATTGTGGGAGTAATTAATCAGCCTTTCTATACAAATGTGGATTTACGGTAAATAAAACGAAATGAGTGTAATGTATACTTGTGAAAATATCAATATTTGAACAAATTTCATGTGATTCTATTTTGTACAGATGGAAAGGCAATTGTTACTGGGGATTCATGGAAAACAATATTGGAAAATGTTCTATAGTGAAAGAACCTAATAATAAAAAGATAATTATTCTGAGTAGAGTTGAAGATGAAACTGTGAAATCAAAGCTCACAGATGCTGGTTTTGTTATAGTCGAAGCCGCTGGGGCAGGATATAAAATATTAAGCGTCGCTCTTGGACAAGTCGATGCCTACATTTTATCTAAAGGTTCCACATACAAGTGGGATACTTGTGGTCCACAAGCACTTTTGCGTTCTTTAAATGGAGGTATCATTGAATTTCAAAGTTTTATAAATAATCCTGATTCTGATTATATGGATGTAAAATATTTATCTATGTCCACCAATTTCTCAAATAGCAGTGGTTTGGTAGCATATAGAAATCTTGAAACTTTGCAAACACTAAAATCGATTTTATGCAAATAATGTTATTTATGGTATTATGTTATATACTTGTTCCATTTATTAAGTATTGGTGGTATTACAAAGTTCTTAAAAATGAATTTAATCTTGCTGTATTCATTATTAAATGCAATTTTTACTTATTATTATTTTAATTTTTGTATTTTTGACTTTCTAATTACTTGATAGTATTATAAAAATATTTAATCATGACTTAATTACTAATATCAAGGGTTTTTAAAGCACTTAAATATCAAATATGTTTACTATATCTAAAATATATGTTGTATTACTATTTTAACTTAATTACTTTAAAATCAAGTCATTCTTCTGTGATATGTAAACAGATAAACTTTAGTAAAAGTTATACTTCCAATTTTTTTTTTTTTTTTTTCAAGTAAATATGTTCATATAATAAATAAAATGAGAATAACTTTAACAAGGAATTTTAGAAATTGAAAATTTTAACCAATATTTTAGTATAGTTAATATTTTTTGTAGACTATTGACAATATATTAGAAACGTTAATTACTGTTGATAATATTTAAAGTAATTAAACGAAAAGGAGATTATTTTACTCATCTCCATTAAATGTTTGTTGTCTCTAAATGTGATTAATATATTATAAATGAAAAGTAATAGTCTTAAAGTTGTTATTTAAAATTACGTACAATGTCAAAAGATGTTATGTAATATTAAAGATAAATAACAAAAAAGTGGTTTATGTTTCACTTACGATTTTTATTCTCCTCATCGAATTGGTTGTCTCTTTCACGCATTCCTGGTGTATTCCATTATAAAAGTTGTTCGAATTACACACATTTATTAAAATATAACACTAAACATTAACAATTCAACATATAATGTATTTAAATTAAGGAATTAATTCACAATTTTAACACATACGATATGAAAGAATCATACACGCATTCGTCCATCCGAACTTTTAACATTTTAAATATGTTTTATTTGTTTCGATTAATTTCGATAACTGCATGTAACAAACTTCACGGTAACCGTATAGTAATTTTATCGTTTAAAATCATTACGATATGATGCTACTTACACGAAACAATTTACGCGATTAGATATTCATAGTTTAAATTGTACGTTTTAATAATTAATTGAAAAAATATTTCTATTAAATTAAATTTGGAATCAGTACACTAACAGAATTTGAAGATTTTGAAAAACTTCAGGATATTAAAGTTCTATTTAAAAAAATGTAAATTTCATATGCTATTGCATCATCTGAATAATTATTAATTTTGTATAACTACTCTTTTTTCGAAATGAATAGGTAGATATTATTTGAAAAGGAAAGTTTTTCAAACAGTTTGTTTCAAGATATATGATTTAAACTATGACGTGTAGAAACAGCGCATCTTTATTGGTTCTTTATTGGTACAATTTTTTGTTCAATATTCTTTAATGATGCACAAACACCAAATACACGATGATCGTTATGATATCTTAGAACAATTAAGTACTCACTTGTGAAAATGTGAAATATATTCGTATTTTTAACGCACGTTCTTTGAATTCGATTTCCCGATTGGTTTCAACTGTTCGTAACGGTCCTATCATAGAGGGAACTAGATGTCGTTTTACAATTTTCTGTTCTATTCTAAAGAACCGCGAATTTCAAATAGTTTATCAGTGTCAAATATAATTTATTAGCTTCGTATTATTTTATTTCATTGTCATTCATTATTTTTTTTACATTGAAAATCAATTTAGTTTGTATAACTTTCAATTTGCTTTTAGTTAAATTTGTAATCTTAAATTTAGAATTACAAATATTTAACGAAGAAATAATAATTTAACATTAACAAAAATTCTATAATAATTTTATGTACTTAATTTATCTTTGTTTACCTATTTTTATAGCATCTATAATTCGTTAAATTATTATACAATATAAAAAAATGAAAAAAAGTTTAATATATTTATAATATATATTAAAAATCTCTTTCTATGCAACAATTTTTGGTTTATAATGTACATAGTTCTTTATTTACATGAAAGAATAAACACAAGTTATAATCTTATATTGCATTTCATTTTGCAGGTTTCGTTTTATATTTCATTTCAATTTTTAAAAATTCTATATCATTTATTCCTTGAATTAAAATCAGACAAACATATATTTTGTTAACAATTAAAAAAAAATGGAAAAAATACTATAAGAACCCTAGATTACACTTCGAATACTGATTCTCTTTTTATATATATTTTGTAGAAAAAAATTAGGGTATTAATTATAAAATAAAATAAAACTGTCTTAATTAAAAATTTGTGCCTAAGACTATTACATTTAAATTAAGTTCAATTCATAATTTTTTTACAAAATGTCGTTGTACTTTTAGCAAATTCTTTGGTAACACATCAGCTTTGGATTGAAATTCTGTTAAACCTTTCTTATAGTTTTTTTTATTCATTTTTCCATCATTTAGGTTTCTCCATACCTTATCATCTATTCTCATATTTATTCATTTAACACATAATCACATTTAATTTAATTAGAGAACTTTTACAGTTGTTCTTCTGAATGAGATTCGAGATAAGAAAATTGTCGTAATTGCTGAGTAGTTGGGCGGAAGGAGTCGTTCCGGAAACTAGCGCTTCTTGCAGGAGCAGTATAGTTTCCATTTGTTTTACGACGAACACTGACGTAGGTTGTGCACGTGTTCATACGTCGGAGAACAGACTGGTTTGAATCATTTAGGCCTGCAATTTAAAAAATCTTCATTCAATTTACAAAATTATTATTAAATTGAACATTTCTTCCAAATTTTCCGTGTGAAATAAAAATTATAACATTTCAAAGAATTTTCAATTTTTAACAATTATAACAAGGATGAATATAAATTAAATAATTCTTCAAATTACTTTTGTTACAAATTTAAAAAATGAATATGATAATATGATAATTAATATAATTTGTAATAATTTTATACTTTAATATGATAATTAAATATATGTTTTATATATGTAGAGAGATTTTAGCTACAACAAGTTATTAATTCAATAAGCAGTTTTCATAAAGTTTATAATACTCGAAGAATTAGCATCGGCTTTAATTTGTTGTCTGCTTGTTGAATTTGGTTGGCCGAATTAACCAACTTTATATATAGATTTTTCATGTGATTTTATATTAAATTTGTCGAATAATGTGTACTGTCTGTTTCTTTTTAAGAATTTTTCAAAAAGGTGAAAGAGAAAACTTCAGAAAAAAAAGCAGGGTGAAAAATTAATTTAGTTTAATAGATTACCTGTTAAAGGAATGCCCATTGTACTGGCGTGACAATTGTTACGTTGTCTCCCTCTACGAATTCGATGTATTCCAGGTAGACGCCTAATCGCGACTATGAAACCTGTTCGAAATCTCGCGTTCATCCAGCAGTAAATTACCGGATTGTAACAGGAATGTGACATAGCCAACCAATGAACAACCATCCATACGAAGGGAAATCCAGCCCAACTTATGAGAGTCTCGTTATTATCCGTTAACAACTGAAAATTTTACCATATCTCTTTCTGTAAGGGTGTTTCTTAAAAAGGATGACAAATTGAAGAGAAAGAGAATCAGAATGTATTAAGAATAATTTTAGAAATTATTATGAAAAAGAATCAGAATTTTTCTGCCTATTTTTATTTTAATTATTTTTCATTTCCATGATATTGCACTTTTATTTTATTTCCGAAGATAATAACCAAAGAGGAAATATACTAAAGTTCAAGATTTATTGGAAGTTCAAGATTTATTACTTACGTTCAATATATTGAATGGAAGCCAGCAAACAGTGAACACTATTACAACGGTTACCATCATTTTTACCATCTGAAACAAATAAAATATAAAACTATATTTTTTCTTTGCCGTTGACTGCTTTGATTAATTTTCACAAATAAACAAATTTTATTTATGTAACAAACGATATTTAAAATAGTACTCGAATGATAGTAATTAATGCTTCAAGTATCTATGTTAGTTTCGTTCTGGATTACTGTCCCAAAAATTTAATTAAACGAGAAAAGCTTACAGAACAAGTGAAAATTAAAATTGACACAAAGAATGTGTTAACATTTCGAATGCCTCGGTAAATTTCTTTTCAAATTTTATGACAGTGTTTCCTATGTTAATGAGAGCTGAAAATATAGGCCACATTATGAGAAGGACATGGTTGGCTAAAATTTGACCGAAAAATAAATTAAATGTAGAAATTATTTTTCGTTCGGTGAATATATTCTGCGGTTCTTTTAACGTCAATTTATTTCACTGTATGACCAGCAAATACATGTGGCGTTACATATTACCACGGATAATATCGTTTTCATTATGGTTGCGGCTATGATTTATTTTCGCGTTCCATACGATCCTAATTATTTTGGATATTAAAAATGAAACCTAATTTTTTAATTTTTCGCATATGATTAAAAATTAAAGTAAAATAATAAAAATAATATTCATAATATTTATAATTTTCAGTACAACGAAAGAGAAAATTATTTGAAAGTACAAAGTGTGTCAGTCGACAAAGTATTTCTATCTCGCATAAACTGTTTCTATCTCGCGTTCATCCAGCAGTAAATTACCGGATTGTAACAGGAATGTGACATAGCCAACCAATGAACAACCATCCATACGAAGGGAAATCCAGCCCAACTTATGAGAGTCTCGTTATTATCCGTTAACAACTGAAAATTTTACCATATCTCTTTCTGTAAGGGTGTTTCTTAAAAAGGATGACAAATTGAAGAGAAAGAGAATCAGAATGTATTAAGAATAATTTTAGAAATTATTATGAAAAAGAATCAGAATTTTTCTGCCTATTTTTATTTTAATTATTTTTCATTTCCATGATATTGCACTTTTATTTTATTTCCGAAGATAATAACCAAAGAGGAAATATACTAAAGTTCAAGATTTATTGGAAGTTCAAGATTTATTACTTACGTTCAATATATTGAATGGAAGCCAGCAAACAGTGAACACTATTACAACGGTTACCATCATTTTTACCATCTGAAACAAATAAAATATAAAACTATATTTTTTCTTTGCCGTTGACTGCTTTGATTAATTTTCACAAATAAACAAATTTTATTTATGTAACAAACGATATTTAAAATAGTACTCGAATGATAGTAATTAATGCTTCAAGTATCTATGTTAGTTTCGTTCTGGATTACTGTCCCAAAAATTTAATTAAACGAGAAAAGCTTACAGAACAAGTGAAAATTAAAATTGACACAAAGAATGTGTTAACATTTCGAATGCCTCGGTAAATTTCTTTTCAAATTTTATGACAGTGTTTCCTATGTTAATGAGAGCTGAAAATATAGGCCACATTATGAGAAGGACATGGTTGGCTAAAATTTGACCGAAAAATAAATTAAATGTAGAAATTATTTTTCGTTCGGTGAATATATTCTGCGGTTCTTTTAACGTCAATTTATTTCACTGTATGACCAGCAAATACATGTGGCGTTACATATTACCACGGATAATATCGTTTTCATTATGGTTGCGGCTATGATTTATTTTCGCGTTCCATACGATCCTAATTATTTTGGATATTAAAAATGAAACCTAATTTTTTAATTTTTCGCATATGATTAAAAATTAAAGTAAAATAATAAAAATAATATTCATAATATTTATAATTTTCAGTACAACGAAAGAGAAAATTATTTGAAAGTACAAAGTGTGTCAGTCGACAAAGTATTTCTATCTCGCATAAACTGTTTCGTGAAAATACCAAACTTTTTTCGAAATTATGGAGATTGAAGGATTTTGAAAATCAATTTTACTAGCTTTTGTCGAGAAACTGAATTACGAGAATTTCTTTTTGATTTACTTTCTGTTTCTCTCTTATATAGATGAAATTGTTCCATCTAATACGACTTTTCTTCCTTTTATCAATAGACACCTTGTATTTTTGTTGCGTTTTTCTACCAAATATTTATGGCTCACGCAACTGTACGTTATGTTCCTTATTTTTTCTCTACCTATGTTTTACTTTTATTTTTCTCCCTTTTTCCAGTAGCTTCTCCCTTAAAAGTTCTCACCATATTTTTACCCTTGCCTCGTCTTTTTATTTTTCCTGTTCTTTCTGTCTTTGATATTTATATCCTTATTTCTCACCATAATATTTCCCTTTGTTCTTTAGATATGTGATATCCTGAGTTTTTACGTTAATACCGATAACGTCGATTTTTTGCATAATAATCCGGATAAAAGATTCATTGGAAAAAGTAAAATAAAAGATTTACTCGAAAAAACAAGAAATTTCTCATTTTTCTTTACGTTTAATTTATTATACGTAATGAAAATGGCAGTGCAAAGATTCCATATGGATTTGCAGATTTAAATTATTTATTATAATATTTGTATATAGTACCGTATTAAAATTAATTATATTATGTACCTATACAGATATTTTATTTATATACTATTTATTTATGATTTTATGTATAATTTTTAATACAGGTTTCATTTAAAGCGATCCTTGGTTATTTCTTAATACTAAAATATTTTCATCTCGTACAGATATTCTTAGACACGTTATGGAGTTACTTATGAGTGATACTTTCTTTCATCGGGAGGGTGAGATATGTGAGAAGAGGGTGGTTTTGTGAAATGAAATATTCATGTTGGGTGGATGTAATATAAAGGAAAAATTATTCCGCGCGTGGAATAACGTATCTCCTAATGGATGTTGAAAAGTTATTCATATTTTAAGTAAATATACAAGGATAATGTGTATCATGGTCGAGAAAAATTCTACAACTCGTCGTTACTGCAACGAATATCTCTGGACTTCGTAAGGACTTAAAATTCTTCTAATTTCGAATTTAATATAGCAACTTATACGCGATTTCTAATGTTTCCACGAAATTCTGAGATTGCTGCCTAGCGAAGATTGTACGAGCAAAATTGTAGGATAAAGTTTAGAGAGAAAGTGGATTTCTATATGTGAATCAAGTATGATTATACGAAGTTTAAAAAGTTTCGACGGAATGAAAGTTCGAAAAGGAAGCGAAATATCATCTCTCGAGGAACTTCGGACGAGAAGACTTTGGCAAATTAGATATGGAACACATGGGTAATGCGTTGTTCAATGTAATTCAAAGTTCCCGTTTAGAATTATTACATTTAATTAATTCGCGAAATAACATCGTTAAGAAGCAAGCGTTATTTCACGAGCTTGGGTAAATTCTGAATGTTAATATTGGAAAATTACACATAGCCTGGACTAACTTTATAGGATACTTAAATAATTTGTAAATTTAGAAATAACTTTTTAATGTAAAAAGTAAAATTTACGATATTTTCATCTCTTTCATTTATTTTATTTTATTTATTCATTTATTTGCATCATGTACCTAATATATTACTCGTAAATAATATTAATTAAAATCTGACGATGAAGACAAGTAAGGAAATACATGTAATAATAAATGCTAATAATAATAAATAATAAATAATAATAAAAGCTTCGAATTCAGTCATTCCAACTGGTACCTTAATTCTGCATTATGTACCTGACATATTATTCGTAAATAATATTAATTAAAATCTGACGATGAAGACAAGTAAGGAAATACATGTAATAATAAATACTAATAATAATAAATAATAAATAATAATAAAAGCTTCGAATTCAGTCATTCCGACTGGTACCTTAAGTTCAATGTTAACGAAACTAAATACCTCACGTAATATAAATATTTCTCTCCGAGTTGATATTAAATCTCCCTATTTTCTCCATTTTCATTTCTCCTCTCCCTTTATCTTTATCCCCAGCTTTGATAGCGCCAGCCTTTTAAGCACGGGGAATTTACACTGAAAATGCACTTTGTGTGTTTCAAACACAGAGAGTCGTAATACTTTTTCTTGTAAAATTCATAAATCACGCTTTTACAACAAGGAAACGGTACACAAGCTTTTTAACGTCTCGGTAAACCCGGTTTATGGGAGTCTTATTGAACATCAACGAACAGTGCAGAAACAATATGGCGAGGATCAGTATGGATCGTTGGCTCGTCAAGTAGATTTCTCTTCGAGATTCGACCATCAATTCCTCTTCTTCGCCACTTATCAGAATAGCTAAAGAATAATATACTAAAAATAACAAGCTAAAATAATAAGCTAAAAAATAATATCACTTCCTTCAAAATAAACAAAAATTTCATTAAATTTTAATCCATAACTTTTTACCATCTCAAGAGTATTTTAATTAATCAAGATTAATAATTTCTCGTTTTTACCGTAACAGAGATATCTGCTGGATATCCCAGAAGATCCTGACTAATCGTTTTCAAATTTTTTCGAGGACCTTCGTCGTAACAGACCTAGCTCGGTTACGTTAATCTTGACGAAAAAGAACGAAGGCGAGGATTTCATCGGAGATAATTAGTGTGGTATTGCGAGCAGTGAAGGAGGCCAGCAAAGGAAATAGTATTAAGAAACCAATCAACTAACTTTTAACCCACTTTCTTGTAATTTCCTAGGTTTCTTTTCTTTAGAAATATTCGGTTCCTCGAATATTCCATGAATATTTCAATGGGAACCGAATCATCGAACACTGATAGTTTATTCAATTCTTTTATTACTCCCAGAAATCTTCGAAGAATTATTCGCGTTGATAATGTGGTATTGCGAGCAGTGAAGGACGTTAACAAAGGAAATAGTATTAAGAGTGATAGCGGGGCGAATGAGTGTGCGGTCTTACTTCTAAGCGAATAAATGGGAAGGCTCGGGTCGCTTCTCGAAAAGCGAAAAATAATAAACAGCGGCATCGGGTTCGACTTGGGCGTTCAGGGTGATATCTAGGATGCGGGCGAAAGAACAAACGGTAGCGCGAAAGAATCATTTTGACGGGATTTCTATGACAGTATCGAGCGATCGAGAAAGAAAGCCTATGCATGAAAAGAGAGAGTTTTGACTTTAAGTAAGGGTGCAAGGGCGCAGGCGAGGCAGAATGCTTGCAGTCGAGACGTAACGAATAGAGGATCGTGTGTTTGAGAGTTAGAATCGAGAGAAACCTAGTGTAATATTTTAGTTAAATAAATCTGTTTTGTTATTAAAAAGGAGTCGTTGTTTATTAGACGCGCAGATCTCTGTCAGCATAGGATTAATCTAGCAATAATCCTAGATTAGTTACCCTCCATCCACATCGTCTGGGACACTTTTTGCCTCAGTACAATTGAAACATCCTGTCAAGGTAACCTCCATTCATCTGCTTCTCCTGTTTCTACGTTTTGTTTCGCTTTTTGCCCCTATACAGCCTTTTACGACGTGTTCCTCCGATGCCGGAGACCTTCAATAACTTGCACGAAGCGTGTAATGAATGTACAACTTCCACTTTCGGTATAATACCGATGTTTTATTGCATTTCTTCATCTTTGTCCGTACGTGCGACGATTTTTACGTTTACATTTGCGCCGATCACGTTGAACAGTATACCCGAACAAAGCATTATCTGCACGAACACGATTCTTTTTTCTTGCAAGGTGACATCGTTCTTCGAGACACTTGTGGAATGAGGTTCCCTCGTGATTGATCTATTTTTTTGCGAACGAGGATCAACGATAAAAGAATGTCCGAAGGAAGGAAAAAACTAGGATAATGAATTTCGTAGACTTGCATGACCATACTTATGTAAAAGGACAAGAAATTGGACCATCGAGAGAGAAAATAAGATGTACGCCAGAGAAGCGTAACAAATTCGTGTAAAATGGGAAGAGAATATAGAGTATCGTTAACAAGGGAAAACAATCTTCTTTAATTTATTCAGATGCCTGAAGTATATTACAGAGTCGAGGGAATCACAAACCTAATCTCGTGAACGTAGGTCTAAAATAAAATATGTGGTAAGTCGAAAGGAACTTTTGATTCTGATTATATTTTATATTTTTTGGCGGTATAAAATATACGAAGGCTCGAAGTCTTCTATGATGCGTGGCTGTAGACAATGGACTGTCAAAAATTGTGTCGTCGAATCCTTCGGCATGGTTTCT